TGTACCTCTGGTGCAAATTACTGACCTCTGTCATCATTTTAAGTGGGGGAACTTGCACAATCGGTGGCTGACTAAATACTTTTTTGCCCCACTGTATGTGTTGACTGCTGGGATCTTGTTCCAGAGGTGTGGACTTGAGTCATATGACTGAAAAGAAAAAAGTCTTGTGACTTGACTTGGACTTTTACACCAATGGCTTGCAACTTGAACTGAACTTGAAACTGTTTACTTGAAAACCCTTTAGATTTGGAGTAAAATAAAGATAATAAAGTTTATGTCATGGTCTGCAACCAAGTGAGTTGAATTGTTTATTATTTATTTGCCACATTATTGCTGTCTGTGTTTTGGTTTTCTTCCCTTTGCCCCTCATGTTTCTCTGTGCTCCCTCTGTTCTGTGTCTTGTTATCCCTGCCTGTGTGTTCCCTTGTTTCCAGTGTAGTCAGGTCATTGTGTAAAGCCCATCTCTCTGAGTCTGTGTCTTTGCATGTGTGTTGAGTTTCCTATTTTATCCTGTTGAAGATGGTGGACATCTTGTAACCTTTTGAAGAAACAACATATTTGACACAAGGTAAGAACAAAGTCGCAATTAGTGCTGTCCATCCGTACTGTTCCTCAATCACCACCTTAAAAAACTTAAGCCTCAAGTCAATTTCCTGAATGGCCTGGTAAGGAGTTTCCAAGCATCTTTGAACAAAAGATTTCTTGGAATCATTATCAGTGTGTGAATGGCTAGAGCAGCCTCCTCAGATCCAGTGTACCTCAAAGCAGCTGCTTTGGATCCAAAACAATGACTTGGTCCCACCTCTGTCTTGTTCTTCCCACTCAGCTGACATCTCAGGATTTGCCTTACTCTCTGTAGATATTTTGTGGTTGCTGCTTTCCTAGCGGCAGCTTCACGGTTCCCATTTGGCTGTGGGGGCACAGGTCTTAAGGAGACAGGACTCACCCCATCGGGTCCAGTAGACTTGCCTGAGTGGAGTCTTCTCATTTGTCTCTGAACCTGGTCTTGAGTGAAAAAGATAGGTGGGGTGATAAAGGGGTGTCAGGACTTTTACAGGAGGCAACGGTGCAATGTGGAGAGGGAGGGAGCGAGAGTGGTGTGGCTGTGGATGTAGCTGACTACAGGTAAGGCTGTTGGGGGGGGCACTGCAGTGTCGAATCTGTTGAAAAACACATTCAATTCATTAACTCTGTCCTGAGTCTGGATGACTCAGCCCCAGCCTCTGCTGCTGAATAACCTGAATCCAGTGATTGTCTTCATGCCACTCCACACCTCTCATGCTGTTCTGCTGGAGTTTCCACTCCAGCTCTCTCCTGTTATGGTCCTTAGCCTCTCTGATCTTGCCCTTTAATAGCACCTGAACCGTGCTCATGGACTACACGAGCATCTGTTGTTTTCTTTAGCCAGTAGATGTGGATCATCTCAGGGGCTGATACTGTCAATCTCCCCCTGCTTGAAACACTTTTTGAATATCTGCCACTGCGATGGATACTCAATCCTGTTTACGGAGGTTACTGTAGTCTGCTCTTAGCTCCACTAGCCACTAAGCACTGGTGCAATATGTTGTGTTATTCTGCATATGCTCTTCTGATATTGCTCGGTCTCAGTTGGGCTGTATACACTGATAGTATACCTTTGATGTCTCAGTGGAGAGTAGCTGGCAGCGCTTCAGGACTACTTCGTGCGCACAGACGGCCACACGAAACGGCCTCCTGGACCTGGACAAGTTCACTGAGTTTGTGACCTGCTACATCAGTAAGTGCACAGAGGATGCAACGGTCTCCAAAAACACACCACGAGAACCAATGAGAAGCCCTGGTTCACTGCAGCAGTACGTGCACGTCTGAGAGAGAGAGATGCTGCTTTACGGTCTGGAGATAAACCGGCTCTCAGAACAGCCAGAGCCCACCTCTCTCGCGCCATCCGACATGCAAAGCGTGTGCATGCACAAAAGATCCAGAGCCACGTCCACAACACAAAAGACTCACGCAATTTATGGCAGGGCATTCAGGCCATCGCACAGTACAAGCCTGGACCAAGCAGCTGCATCAGTAAGGCCTCCTGGATTGTGCTTGACCCCTCACATGGACTCTTTTCTCTCCTTCCATTTGGCAGACGCTACCGCAGCATCACTACCAGGCCCCCCTCTCCCACTCACCACACACACCCACACAAACTGTTAACCGACTCTTTTGCACTTTACACACCACTCCCTCTGTAAGACATGCTGCTTTATAGACAAATGTTTTACTCCAGGTTTACAAGCTGGTCACTTTAAACCACTCCAAACTGTAAATTGTAAATTGTAAATTGTAACTTCTCTTGATCCCCTAAGACTTAAGTGTATATTTGTTTTTCTTACTCCTTTTTATATCTATTTATTAGCCCTTTTCCACTGATGTAACCGGAGCCTTGTCGTCTTGCTTCTCTGTATGCTGCACTGGATATAGCAGAGATGACATGATGAAGTTTACTCTGACTTTGACTTTCCTGAATTCTGTCTCCATTGTATACCTCTTCATGATCCTAGCCAGGGATATGAGTCTTTACTTGGCAGTGCTCTACAGCTCCAATAGCTAGCTTTGGAATTTCTCCCCATGTTGCCTTGATCTTGGCATCTCATATCCTTCTCCATGGAGGGTCCTCCTCATTGTGGGTCCTTGTAACCAAGCATTTCAGTGGTTTTAGATAAGTTATTTGGTTTCAGTGATGGTTGCAGTAGAGGTTGTCTGTGCTGCATATACATCTTCTAGTAGTTGGTACTTCACATAGTCTTGGTAAATCAGTCAGTAGGGTCTGATTTTACCAGTAGGCCTTTACCTGACATCCTGGCTCCTCCTTGCTGTAGCTTTCGAGTTTTACCTCATCAATCTTCAGTTGTGATAATAGTTGCTTCTTTGTTAGTCTAGATTTTAGGTGTTGAAGATTCCATAGGTCCCACCTCCTCTTGATGTAACACCTTCCGCTGGTAGGTGTGGTAGCATTTCAACAGTATTCTCATCTTAACTGCAGTTTTTCTCTGCTTCCTTTATGGATAAAGGGGTTTGGCTCTGAGCAGCAGATCAGAACTTCAGCAGGTGCTTGAGAGGAGGAAAAGGGAACAGAGTTACCAGGATGAGGATCAACATAGTAGGACTCCTCTGGAGAAAGTCCTACTCAGACGTCAGCAGAAACAGCATGAGGTAGTAAACTTAAAGTGTTGCACAAGGTTTAGCTACTTTTAGTAAGTTCCTTCATTTAATTGGATCATCCATTATAAACAGTGTCTAGTAGGGTTCAAGACCATTTCCTCCAAGACTACTGTAGGGTATTTATCTTACAATATAAACCACCCTGAGGTTACTGCTGTTGTGATTTGGTACTATACAAATAAAACTGAACATAATTGTACTAAGGAAGGACTGTAGATAAAATGAGTGGATTTCAGATATCATGAAGAACATTATTAACACAAAACGCAAATGGACTGAACTCAGTTAAAGCACTTCTTACTAGGAGCCTCAATGCGTTTAACATTTGCATACATTCACGCAGAATGTATTTCATAAATAATAAACATATTATGTCATAAAAAGGACCTTTTTATGACATGAAAAAGTTACTTTTTCGCTGTCATTTATTTTCAATAACAAGCTTTATGTGCTTCTCTTTGTCTCTTAGAGAGAGAAAAAACAAGATGAGGAGGTACGAGAGGAATCCCAGCTGATGGAGTTTGTTAGAGTCCGACAGAACTTAAGAAAGATCCACGCCGTGGTCCAGGACAAGAATGCAAACTCGTGAACTGTTATTGAAAAATATGAAAAGATTTATTGTTTCATTTCACTTTATTCAATGTCTGATGTCCTTTACATGTAAAAACATTGGTTGTTGAAATACAGAAAGGAAAAAAGATTTTTTAATACAAAATTGTTACACATTTTTGTTATACTTTACATGTGCTATATTATATACTTTTTAAAAAGAAGATATTCATAAATGTAAATAGGAACTGTGTTCTTTAACTTGTGCTGTTTAGTTATATTGAAGTCTTGTTATAAATTACTGCTACGTTTATGTTTTAATAAAACCAGAAATCTTTGCAAACAGTTGCACATAAAATCCTGAACACTGCAGGACAATTAGCATGTTTTGTTGTGAAGTGGAAAAAAATACAAACCAAAATGTAAAATTCACAAAATTTGGCCAATAACTCTTGTTAGTGATGGAACGGACTGTGCTGAGGCTTCGGGGTATGTGTCGAGAAATCCAGTATTAAGAATAAAATGATTAAATAAAGCTGTTTTTTTACACATTGCTATGTGCTCATTAAAGAGTGAATTGAATTATTGTGATTGACACGTAGAAGTGCAGAGGGTTTTGCAGCATGCTTACACATTATACCGTTTAAAAGTCAGGATGCTATTTCTGGGCCAAGGGATCAGGGTTCAGAATATCCTGAACTTAGATAATAAAAAATGGAATCAGTAGGGTAATATTAATCAAACCTAGGCAGGGAGGTGTTTTCTGTTTTATTCCAGGAAAAGAGCAGATACGAGACAAGGCCAGATGTGAACAGAGAGAGAAGATTCACAGGGAGACGGCAGGACCGCCACTTTGCTTCCCAGAAGAAGACAATCATAAAAATACTTGTTTGTTCTTGTTTTATAAAACTGTACAGCCCACTCTGATGGTCATCCTCTGTGTGAGACAGACGGCTGATTTCACTCTGAGTTCCAGCGCTGTAATCTTTTAAACGACAGAAGTTCTCCTGTACTTCCTTAAGAAAAAACATGTCACCAGAAAGTCTTTTATGAAGATTCTTCGTCATGAGGCTTGCTTCATTAGGGTGAGTGATGTCACTGATGACATCTGAAGCCTTGCTGGTTCAGAAAGTGGTTGGAGTGTTTGTGTAATTGATGATCATATATTAAGTAGATTCGATCCATGCACAATTTTCATGTTAGTGTTCAAGCTTGTTTTCATGGAAAAATAAGTGTCTCCCCCTATATGGCAACACTTTGACCTGATTTCTCCTAATAAAATATTACACATAATGTGCAATGTGTTACTGCGACTACAATATTCACAAGTCGGATTTTTTTCGTCATTCTAAGGTGAAGTATTTGTTGTGTGCCAAGCACCTGACCTATGGGTATCATCTAGAAAGAGGTGCATTAATCTAAGCTGGCTGTGGGATACTCGTCCACTCTGTGGGAGCCAGGGATTGAACCACCAACCTCCTGATCAGCAGCTGCCCTGCCCTACCTCCTGAGCTACAGCCACATCATTAAATATTTAGTTAAAGTGTCATTAATTAATAAAAATGTAAAATCATTCAAAGGCATTTAAAGAAATTTGAAGCATTTAATAAATAATAAACACTTTAATGGAATAGTAATAACTAATATAGTTAATTATTTCAATTTTAATTTGTAATTAATTAATTACACATTTAATTATGTATTTATTTTGGCATTTGTGGGCCTCAAAGCCCAAGCACAAAATATAATTAATTTTTTTTACTACTTTCGACATTGTAGGTACAAACTAAAGACATCAAATATATGAAGCAAGATATGTGGAATTATGTAGTAAAGACAAAAGTGATAAATATGTTTTATATTTTAGGTTCCAGCCTTTGCTTTGTTGGCAGCGCTGCAAACCCTCGGCCTTCTCTCTGAGCTTCATGATGTCATCACCTGACGTGTTTCCCCTCACAGGTGTGCCTGTCAGGGTTCATTTGTTGAGTTTCTTGCCTTCTTAATGAGGTTGGGACCATCAGTTGTGTTGTGCAGCAGTCAGGTTGGTGCACAGCTGACAGCCATATTTGACAACTGTTAGAATTCATATTATGGCAAGAACCAATCAGCTGAGAGAAACAACAGCCCGTCATTACTTTAAGAACTGAAGCTCAGTCAGGCTGTAAAACTGCTAAAACTTTGAATGTGTCCCCAAGTGCTGTCACAAAAACCATCAAGACCACGATGAAACTGTCTCACATGAGGACGCCCCAGGAAAGGAAGAGCAGGAGTCCCCTCTGCTGCTGAGGATACATTCATCCGAGTCACCAGCCTCAGAAATCACAAGTTAACAGCAGCTCAGATCAGAGCCCAGATAGATGCCACACAGAGCTCCAGTAGCAGACACATCTCTACATGTTGAGAGGAGACTGTGTGAATCAGGCCTTTATGGTCAAACAGCTGCTGAGAAACACAAGGAGTGGACATTAGACCAGAGGACATCTGTGCTTTGGTCTGATGGGTCCAAATCTGAGATCTTTGGTTCCACCTGCCGTGTCTTTGTGCGATGCAGAAGTGAAGGCAAAAGGACCAACAAGTACTCAGCATCTCTGAACTCCTTCAAGACTGTTGGAAACCATTTCAGGAGACGACCTCATGAAGCTCATGGAGAGAACGCCAAGAGTGAGCAAAGCAGGAATCAAAGCAAAGGGCGGCTTTCATTACTACACAATTCCATATGTGTTCATTTATACTGTTGCAGTCTTGCTTGCAGCAAGGAGGAATTATGGCAGGAGCCCGAGCTCCGCCTGAAAGAGAGAGCTGGGGATTCAGGAACAGCAGGTCCTCATCTTTGGCCTACAACTTTGCCATCATTATATCTGGCAAGGAGTAGGCTGGGGCGCCACACAGCTGGGCCTCCAACGCCAACTAAGACAAGCTTCTCTTAAACATAAAACAACAGAAATTTGGATGCCAGATGGATCAATATCTACCCACCCATCAGCCATAAATGAGTAGTTTGAGAAATTTACACATCACCTTTTTTCTTTTTTTTTTTTTAGGTATTTACAAGTCTGAAGCTTTACTAGTAAGCACTTCAGACTTTCACAACCACTAGATCACTCAGTTATTGATGACATACTTGATTTGGACCCTTGTGCAAAAGGCAATATTTGAATAAATTATTTCAAGATTCACCGAGCTGGGAAAAAACTAGATTAACATGGATAAAGGATCTCAAAATGGAAATTCCCAAAGAATTCTGGCAGCTCTCTCTAGAGAATACTCACGCATCTTCGTTCTGTATTAGACAATGTTTGATACAATTTAAGAGAGTACTTAGTTACAGACAAGCAAAAATGTATCCAACTGTGAGTGTAGCATGTGCAAGATGCCAATCAGGTTCCAACCACATTAGGGAATATGTTTTGAGGGTGCCCTTGGCTACACAAATTCACAAGAATGTGTAGGTCTTTCTTACACATGCAACTGAACAATTTCACCATCGGCCCACATCTCCACCTTTGGGATTCCTGCCCAAGCTGTTATGGTTTCATCACCACAGCTAAAAGCGATTGCTTTCGCCTCAGTCACGGCTCAAAGGTTTATTCTTCTTCACTGGAAATTAGACAAACCTCCTTCTTTTAACAACTCGGTGAAAGAAATGCTTTCAATGTTACAGCAAAAAAACTGAGCTACAGCAATTCAGTTCAATTTTATTTATGCAGCACCAAATCACAACAGCAGTCACCCGAAGGCGCTTTATATTCTAAGGTAGACCCAACAATAATCCTTACAGAGAAAAACTCAGATTCATGGATTTAAAATGGACTCGTAAAGTTTTGGCAAACTTAAAATAAAACAAAAAATAAAATTACATAAAATAAGTTGTACTGAAAATCATTTGTGAACATTAAAATATGCCACAAGTAAAGATGTATAATATTGTTAGAATCTCTTAGCTTCACTTTTAGCTCGCTAGCAAACATGAAATAACTTTGCCAGTGTTGGTCGATGGGATGCCAATAATAGTCCAATTAATTTACCATGCTGAGCATTGTTACGTTTTATGCATACATAAAATTTCCAGTTTAACAAGGGTTGGGATTTTGTTGTGTCAACTTGGTGATGACTTTGCATACATACTGTTATATCGTGAGTGGTGCTTCATATGCCATTGTGGCTTCATTGTACATCCTAGTCATGCACTTTATTTTTATGTTTTACAGTAACAGACACGTTTTCAAGAACACAGGTTTATTGAACTTTTTTAACTGTCTAACATTTCTCAAACAATTGTGAGGACAGAATATCCATTGTATTAATTTCATTTGTCATTTTTTATATCGTGTATTTTTTGCATTTGTGACACTACCATTCAAACCCAGGTCTACTTAATAAAATTACGTTTCCAACTTCCTGTACTTTTTTGTATTTATCAAAATATGCTGATGTTTTATTTACAATGCTTTCTGTAGACAGTGCTGAACAGAACTGTTGGTAGAACAATGAGCTGCATATCTATTGCTCTTCCTCCTCCAGGTCCCAGCAGTTGCTGAATAGGCAGCCATAATTCAGTCAGGTCCGCTGTGCTCCAATCCCCAAATCCAGACTCCTCTACCCAAACTGCCAGACGTAGAAGTGTGATTCATCACTCCAGAGAACACGTGTCCTCTGGAGTCCAGTGCTTTATACCACTGCATCCAAAACCTTTCATGTAAGGCTCGATGCAGCTAATCAGCCACGGAAACCTGTTCAATGAAGCCGTCTACGTGCTGCTCTCAAGCTAATTTGAAGGCTTTCATTCCCAGTGGTTTTCACTTTGTTATACTACTGGCAGACTGGAATATTCTGCATTGCACAGGCGGGGCATCCTGTAACGGTACCACGCAGGAATGTATTGAGCTCATGACAGCGACCCATTCTTTCACAAATGTACTTAGAACCAGTCTGCAGGCCTGGAGCTTGATTTTATACAGCTGTGTTCGTGGAAGTGATCGGAACACCTGAATTAAAGGATTTGGGTAGGCGAGGGAATACTTATAGTTTTATTACATTCAGCCATTCTCATAGATGAAAGATCTGAAAGTGCTGTTTGGAAGTGTTGTTTAATTATATTAAAAAGTCAAACAGTTATCTGC